TTATTTATTTAGGCATTTCCTTTAATATGTCACTCATCTGTGTATCTATAGTAAGCTAATTCATCAGTAGTATGGGAACCACTGAAATGTAAAACAGTGGTGTGGGAGCTGGTGCTCATCCATCCCATAGTGCAGCTTTTATCTACAGCCTGTTGTGAAAAATACTGTGCCTCTGCTCTCCGGAGCTCCACCAGTGACGTAAAACTGTTGTTAGTGTGGAAATAGCAACACTTCATGTGAGAGTGGGAGGAAGACTGCACAATTGTATCTTGTCTTGAGTCTAAGCTTTGTTCTCCTTCTGTATGCACAACCCTGACAGGTTCTTTGTGGACTAATGACAGCACATAACTGTAGGTTTTACCACTAGCCATAAAATGTTGCAGCTGGTAAAGGAAGAGCTAATTTTAAACACCTTATATGCTTATCATTTGAATTACTGCTGGGTATCTTGTGAATTTTACACAGACGATGAATAAATATTATGATTATACTGTATTTTGTTTTATTAACCTCATTCTGAAAGGTAACTAGTAACTAAAGTAGTCAAATAAATGTAGTAGATACGAAGTTCAATTTTTTTCTGAAAGTTGAATTATGAAGTAGCAGAAAATAAAAATACTAAAGTACAGATACCTCAAATTATACCTAAATGCAATAGTTGAGCAAATGTAGTTAGTTACTTTCCACTTCTGTGAATTGGGATGTCAGTTTCATAGCCATGATAAAAACATGTTTTTACCTGCATCTTCTTCCATTGTTAGTACACTGAGTCAAGGGTTATGTTTTAAAAAATATATATCTTGAAGTAGTGTACTGTTATTACACTGTGTTAGGTCCAATTCTCTTCACTTTATACATGCTCCCTTTAGGCAATATTATCAGGAAGCACAACATAAATTTCCATTGCTATGCAGATGATACTCAGTTATATTTATCTATGAAGCCAAATGAATCAGGTCAGCTGGTCAAACTTCAAGCATGTCTTAAAGACATAAAGGCCTGGATGACCTGCAACTTCTTACTTCTAAACTCTGACAAAACTGAAGTTATTGTGCTTGGGCCTGAAAACCTTAGAAATCTGCTGTCTAATCATATAGTTACTCTAGATGACATAGCCCTTGCCTCCAGTACTACTGTGAGGAACCTGTGAGTCATCTTTGATCAGAATATGTCCTTTAAATCACACATAACCCAAGTCTCTAGA